ACTTTTTTTACACTCTATGGTAGTTGTTTGTTTACTTCTTGAAACTCAGGCAGCAAATGGCAGGAAAAAAAAAAAAAAGAAAACTTACAAGGCTGTATAATGTGAGTCTTCGAGGAGTGTTAACAGAAACCAAGGAACAGTGATTTGAGAGTGGAACCTGGGAACAGAGTAGCGCCCGCACCACCGGCTACGACGCCCACAAGGCTGCTCTTCCCGCGGTGCCCCAGCCCTGGGGTCCCGGAAAGAGAGGACGCCTGCTCGCTTGAAAGGGCCTCGGTCCTCAGGGGAAGGTTGTGCTTATGTTTGGCTAAAAAGTCACAATGCTTTTAGTTAAGAGTTCAATGTTGAAAGAAATTTTTATTGAAAATGTTATGTATTACATAGAATATATACCAGAAAACTGGAAGTCTGCGGCAAGCTTGCAAGTGTTTGAGATTAAGTCAGGAGAATGGAATGACAGCTAAACCAAGCTGAGTTCAATACAAGCCTTCTCTTTTGGAACAGGGAAAAGTCAGGGATGTCAAACTATGCAAGCTGTTCTATCTGGAACTTCAAAAAACCTTTACAAAACTAATGCTGCCCTGGCTGGTGTGGCTCAGTTGGTTAGAGCATTGCGCTGTAACGGAAGGGTTGCAGGTTCAGTCGCCAGTCAGGGCATATAACGTGGTTGCGGTTTCAATCCCCAGTCTGGGTGTGTACAGGAAAGCAACCAGTTGATGCTTCTCTCCCGCATGGGTGTTTCTCTTTCTCCCTCTCTCCCTCTGAAAGCAAGAGAAACTATCCTCGGGTGAGGATTAACCCAAAAAATTGATGCCGAAAAGGAGAGGAGTGCTACATGGTATCTGAAACTCTAGAATATTTATTCTTGGAGAATATTTTCTATTGTATCAACTTAAGGGTGATAAAAATTTCCTACTTTTAGCTTTCTTATATATTTTTAAAGTATTCTTTTAAGTAGATAGAGCAAAATATCTGAGGAAATCCCCAAGGAGCCCCTAGTAGGTCTGTTTGGCACCTTCTAAAACTTTGTATCATGATTAGGTAGTTCGGGATAAAAATTCTTTTGTAACAATACTATTAATTAACTTTTTTTGATCCATATTCCCAAGAGTTATTCTCCTCTAAACCTCTAAGGCAAATAAGCTCATGAAAAAATAGTTTATCCTCTTAGGGGAAAAAGAAATTCATACAAGAAAAAAATCTTTACAGTAAGAAAAGGAAGGGGTAACTTTAAAAATAATTCAAGTCACTTTTAATCCAGTGACTCAAAGTATTCAAGACCATTTAGCAAAGCTTCAATGGAAAGATTACTACCCTAGTAACTATAAAATACCAAAAACTGTTCTGCATCCCCTTCACTGGGTCATCACTTGGTAAAGGTACCATAAGAAGGATTCTGCAACTGCCACATGTAGATGAGTTAGTTGTATGAAATTCTATATCTAAAGCATACTAGTTAGTAAATGATTAAAATTATTCAGAATTAACCAAGAAGACAAAAAATAATGAAAAATTCCTGAGAATTGAGAATCAATGATTTTCCAGGATAAATTTTTTTAATGGGAGTGAGAGAAGACTTACTCTAATCTAGACATGACTAACGTATTTTCGAAATTTCTTCAAGTTATTTACCACAACTACTATGTTCTCTACCTGCAAAATAGATTCTAGAATTTATGTTACATTGAAGTCATGGGGATGTTGGGAGGCAAGAAGGGTATCTAGATCACAGAGGTGTTGAGGGCCATTATGCTGAAAAAGGTTAATATTTCACCTGTAAGGCCAGCCCATGAATGTGTATTTGCAAGACACAGGCAGTACTAAAGCAAGACAGTGATTTTCCAACACTGAAGTCCTCCAAGCAGTGGCTGAATGAGGATGTAGTAAGGATGCTAATCAGAGCGACTTTTCCTGGGGTTAGGTAGTTCAATGACGTAGGTTTATTTTTATCTTTAAGACATTCTTATTTCTGTTAGCTAGAAATAGAAATAGAAATAGAATTGGCAAAAAACTCAAAATAAAATGCCTAGAATGAATTCATTCATGCATAACCGAAGTTTGAGCCTCTCTGCACACTGAAATTATGTTGGGAGAGTATTACATCATCTGTATACTCGGTGAAATGTAAGTATACTTTTGACACATGTTTTATTTATTAATATATCACTTTGTTAAATTTATCTTTTTGTGTGTGGTCTCCAATCTGTCAATATTCTTAGTGGAGTCAGATGCCAGTCTGAGATTAGATTAACACATTAACGATATTACTCAGTTACAAATTAAACATTTCATAATTTTTTATTTGTTTCAAATAATAAAAAATACTAGAGCTAATAACAAATAATTAGCTCTAATTGTTCATCTTCTTTAAGTTCATCTCAATGCTCCTTAATGGAGCCATATTTCTTTTAGTAAAAATCTGCTAGATATTGTCACATATATTTTTTAATTGAAGCTCCACAGAAGCTCACTTTGAATGTTATAATGGCCTTCATCTCTTAACTAAAGAAGCTATGACTCAGTTGAAGCATTCAATCTAATGTGACAAAGATAAAAGAGGTAAAATCTAGGACTGGAACCCAGTTTTCTATGTCAAATTAATCAAATACTTGAATTTTAAGATGTGAAATAGCATTTACCTTTTAACAACCTCGTGGAAATAATAATTTTTAAAGACAGACAACAGAATGCCCCAGACAAAAAATTCATGTGAAATTTCATACACTATTGTATTGGTATTGCATTCACAATTTGCCACTTCTGTACACTAACCTACAGAATCATGTGGAAGCCTGTTTACTAGGGAATAAAAAAAGTTAGAATCTTTAAGGTGGATAATGGAGGTGAAAAGTAACTGGTAAGAGCTGAATAAAATTTTAACCCTATAAATGTAGAGTCCAATATTGTAATTTTTCAGACAAGAAAACTGAAGTCCAAAACATGAAAGGAGATTTTTTTTGTAAGCACCGAAGCCTAATCTGGTTAAGGTGTAAACTACCCAGCTTTCAGTGTGATGTGGAAGAATTACCTCCGGAGGGGTGGGCGGGGAAACGTGAAAGTTATCTACAAGTGATTTGACATTATCAACCCTTCCAGTAAGGTAAATTCTAATGTTATAAGACTGAACCTTTTTCTGGCTTTTTATATTATGAAATAAATAGTGAGAACAAACATCCTATAGGAAAATAAGAGTATTCTGAGGAGTTAATAAGACAACTGAACAAAGATGTTTGAGTAAGAATTTTTATTTGATCATTATCTCCACAAGCAAGAAATGTTGATGATTTAAATTAAAAACACTAAGCAAATGGCTAAATATATCGTGGTTTCATCCACAGAACTAGGATAGACCCTTAAAAATGACTGTGAAGGAAACACTGGGAGGCGTGTGATGTGTCTGTGACCTTGATCGTGGTGGTATTGTGGTGTTTGCATGTGCCCAAACTCATCAACCTGTACATATTAAGTATGTGCTGTTCTCTGCGTATTAATTATACCTTGAGGAGCTGTTTTTTAAAAAGTGATTGTATGCATTTGTATTAATTGACATGAAAAGATGATATCTACAGTAAAAAAATGAGAAAAGTTACACAGCAATGTCAGCATGACTTTGGATATACAGGGTAGAACAAAAGGAGGTTTATAGTTGTGAATATGCCAAACGAAGAGTTTATTTTTGTATTACTATTTATAAATAACTGTATTATTTTCCATATGAATAAGTATAAATCTACTCCTGCCCCACCCTGAATATGTATATAATTTGAACTTTGAAACCACTCAGGAATATATTCAACAACAGCTTGTCACTGTATCTGCAACAGATTTAATTACAGATTATAGTTTTGTTTTTGCACTTGCATTTTCTCATTATTTGCACTGAGAAATTTATTTTTGTAGTAGGATAAACTAAAAATAAAAAATGAAATAGAAAGGCTCCTTTTTTATCTTGGAAGGAGAGTAGGAAGAGAGGTGGAAAAGGAAAATGAGGGGAGCAGTTATGGCTCATTGATTCAGAAGGAGCAAAGTGAAGTCTAGATGGCGAGCACTGAGGTAAGAGTCAAAGAATAGGTCGCTGTAACTTGAAATGGGGAAATCTGTGCAAAAGAACCATGTCTCTGACACTGGGATGAGTGACAGACTGAACAACCTTGATGTAGCTTTATAATTTCAATTGATCAAGTAAGTGAGGAAAGGTGAATATCCTCTACTTTACCTTCCTAGGTATAATTTGACCTCTCTGACTCTATCACACTGTATAATGTCTGCTCAAATAATCCACAGCCAGATGTGTGACATGTACATTGTGTCATAGAACATGCGGGAATTAGGTTGCAGACATAGGATGAAATCTAATCAATATTCATTATTCCCTTTTGATGTGTCTGCCGATGCGATTAGTAGGAGCCATGGCATGTTGCTCCTTTCACACACCCCTGCTCTGCTCCCACAGATCTATATACACCGGGGAAAATGTGCAGAAATGGGAAACTCTGGAGATCACCAAATATGGACAAAAGGAGTCCATCTCTGTCTCTTACTCATGGCAGGTCTCTAGTGTGCACTGCCAAAGTGAAAGAAAATTTGTTACAGAAAAGGCAAGAAAGTATTTTAAAGGGTTTCCCTCTTAGGGACTATAAAGTTCAGAATAATAGCAAGTTCTAGGTAAAGTATGAGTCAGTACTTCAGCAATTTTTTAGCTGGGGAGATAAAACTAGACAAGTTGAAAAGAAGAAAAGCTTCATTAAGTGAGAGCTTGTTTTTAAATCCAATCTTATCCTTTCATTTTACAGGAATTGTCATGTGGCAATGGCACTTTGACTTTCCTGAGGTTGCACAAAAACAACTTCCAGATCAACAACTATAGCCCATGAATGATCTCCCGGTAAAAGGCATCCCCCACAATACATTTCAAACAGATATTTACTAAAGCTCCTTCGAGGCCAACTTTCCCTGTCTTGTTTCTGAAGGGAGGCCCTGCCCACCGTGCAGCAGCAGCCATGGGGAACCGCAGCACAGTGACCGAGTTCACCCTGACATCCTTCCCAGTGCTCCCTGAGCTTCGGGCCTTCCTCTTTGTGGTTCTCTTGTTCACTTACACGTTAACTGCAACAGGAAACATTGTCATCATTTCCCTAATATGGACAGATAATCGCCTGCAAACCCCAATGTACTTCTTCCTCAGTAACCTGTCCTTTCTGGATATTTTATACACCACTGTTGTTACCCCAAAGCTGCTAGCCTGCCTCCTAGGAGAGAGAAAAACCATATCTTTTGCTGGCTGTATCACCCAAACATACTTCTACTTTTTCCTGGGGACAGTGGAGTTTATCCTGCTGGCGGTGATGTCCTTTGACCGCTATGTGGCCATCTGTAACCCCCTGCGCTACCTCGTCATCATGAACAGCAGGGCCTGCCTCCTGCTAGTCCTGGGCTGCTGGGTGGGGGCATTCTTGTCTGTGCTGGCACCAACCATTGTAGTGACAAGGCTACCTTACTGTCACAAAGAAATTAATCATTTTTTCTGTGACATTGCCCCTCTCCTGCAAGTGGCCTGTATAGATACACACCTCATTGAGAAGATAGACTTTCTCCTATCTGCCCTTGTCATTTTGAGTTCCCTGGCCTTCACTACTGGGTCCTACACCTACATCATTTCTACCATCCTGCGCATCCCCACAGCCCAAGGCCGTCAAAAAGCTTTTTATACCTGCGCTTCTCACATCACTGTTGTCTCCATTGCCTATGGGAGCAACATCTTTGTGTATGTGAGACCCAAACAGAACTATTCACTGGATTTTGACAAGGTAGCTGCTGTCCTCATTACAGTAGTGACCCCCCTTCTGAATCCTTTCATTTATAGCTTGAGAAATGACAAAGTGAAAGAAGTGTTGAGAGATGCAATGGATAGAATCATGTTCTTGATACTAAGGAAAACACGTTAGCATTTAGTACAATATGTCACATAACATTCCTTATGTTCAACATTCATTCTGCATGAATGTAGTGTCATGCTGGTACATTGGAAACCTGAGACTGTGTCAACAGGATAAGCCATGACCCTACCAAAATGAAAGAAAGTTCTGCCTGTGTCCGGAAAAAATCTAATCCACAAACTATCTTGTATCTCCAAACCGTCAAAACATGAAAATTTACCTAGTGGAAATTCAGAGACCTACGAATCTAGTCTTGGCTAAATCAGTTTATTTTCCAGGTGAGTTACACCACATCACAATTTATCTGAGACTCAATGTCTTTATCTCTAAATGAAATAATAGCAAAAGATCATTATTTGTAAATAGACATGAAAATTAAAGAATTTTTTGTCCTGGCCCGGTGACTCAGGTGGTTGGAATGCTATCCTGTACACAGAAAGTGTGCAGATTCAATTCCCAGTCAGGGCACATACCGAGGTTGCAGGCGCCATCACCAGTCAGGACACATACAAGAGGCAACTGATCAATGTTTCTCTGTCACATTGAGGTTTCTCTCTCTCTCTTGCTCTCTCTCTCTCTCTCCTCCCACCTTCGGTATCTTTAAAATCACTAAACATATCCTCATGTCAGGATAAAAAAATTTAAAAATGTAACTTTTTCTTAGGCACTCTCGAGTATTTCAGGAGAATCAGTTTTCATACCTACTAGCCAGATTGAGGAAATATTATGTGAGGAGTGAGGGTTACAGAAATAAGTCTAAAGGTGACATCAAGTCTCTGGCTATAAACCTGAGTGAGTGGTTCAAATATGCGATGAGAAAAGGAACAGAGAAAGGGCAGGTTAATGGCAGACTTTATCAAATTGGAAGTTCTTGTGGAACATTCAATTATAAGTTGTCAGTTGAATTATTATTTGAAGCTTGGAAAAAAGATATGAACTAGAAATATAGTTTAATGAATCATCAAATATATTAATGATAATTATAGTAATAGAAATGGCTGAGATCACCAGGAAAATAACATAAGGAGACAACCCATGAATTACAACAAGGATGGGTAACCCGAGGAAGGAAAAACCAGGAGAGTATGGTGTCAGGAAATGAGGTGAAAGACAAAGGGGGAAATGCTTCAAGTAACATGATGAAGAAGTAAAAGTATCACCCTGCTCAGTGTGGCTCAGCCAGTTGGAGTGTCCTCCTGTAAACCAAAAGTTCATGTTCAAGGTGCATATGAGAGGCAACCAATTGGTGCTTCTCTCTCACATCGATGCTTCTCTCCCTCTTTCCCTCCCTTCCTCTTGCTCTAAAATCAATAAGCATGTCTTCAAGTGAGGATTTTAAAAAAAGGAGTAAAATTATCTGTTGCATTTGGTAGCAGCAGGTCATGAATGACAAATGTTGGGGGTAAAAGCCAAAATAATGAAGGTAGAATAGTGTATAAATATAAAGACATGAAGAATATAAATATAAGGAACAATTCAAGAAGGTTGGCTAAGAATAAAAGCAGTATTGTAATAAGGAAAAAACATGGATTAAAAATGGTATTTTCTAACAAGAGGTGTGTTTGCTTTTTTAAAATATTGGCAGAGTAGAGTGGGGAAGACAGGCTGGGGTCACAGGAGTGACCCGATACAGTGCCTTTTACCTCATATGGCCCAAGGTAAGGACATCAAGAACATTGGCAGGAGAGTTGGTGGCAGAAGTTTTTATTGCTGACTGATAAACAGAGATGGATGAATCCAGGTGTGAAAACAACATGTCAGGTAACAACAAGGTGAAAATTGTCACAATCCCCTTTGATGCATGGCTCAAAGTGAATCTTAAGAAGAAGCTTAGCACCTAACTTCTGGTGAAAATGATCAAAGGAAAGTATAAATATAATTTTAACAATGTCTGTGTAGTAGAGCAAATGAATTAAGTTCATTGTCAAGTAATGTGTTAATGTATGCAGGTCAACAGAAATTAATCATTTATTTATTCATCTATTTCCCCAATATTGCTTATGTGCCTACATAAGTCCTTCTCTGAGGGCCCCTTCCAGACCATGCATGTCTTTGGTCATCCCTCCCTTGAGGAATCTTACCTGTCATTGGCTAACCATTCATCCGCTCCAGGCCAGGCAGGGAGAAGTAAAGGGGGCAGAGGCGGTGGCCCTACCAGGAAGATCAACTTTGCCTCCTTAGTGGCTTATGGTCCCAAGGTCTTTTTACTCATCCTTAGCCATGGGGAGTTACAGCTTCTGAAACCAGGCAGGGCGGTTCCCAACATTGCTTAGTACACTAATTCTCAAAATCTGGTTCCCAAGCCAACAGCACATCAGAATATGTCAAAAATGAAAATTTCCAGGCACCACCCCAGGGCAACTGTATCTGAAACTCCAGGGGAAAAGAAGCCCAGTTGTCTGTGTCTTAACAAGCTCTCCAGATGAGCCCAAAGCAAGCAAACATTTGAGCACCGAGGGCTCAGTGACAGCCAGGCACATTCTCCCTAGGACGTGTGCACCATGGCTCCTGCTCAGGGGGAGCCTAGATTAAATACTACCAGGAGTTTGTTTTTACATGTACTAGATGCCTGATTTTTTTTAAAGCATGTAATACAGTGTTATTAATATTATGGTTATCATTATCATAGCTACTTAATTATAGCTGTTAATTTATTCATATCAAATGATTAAATTAGTTACAAAACACTGACTTTGGTCCCATGTGTGGAGAAGCACTTTGCCAGAGGAGTGGAGGTGGCTGCCAAAGGACTCTGCCTTCCATGAGCCCTGGGGCACCTGGCAGTGAAGCAGGGGGACCTTCTGACCAAAGGGAGCCCAACAGTCAAACAAAGCCCAGATCTGCTGGCCTTCAGCAGTCACCTAAGTCAATTGGGACCTATATCTTCTCTCTGGCTTTTCCGTGTCTGAGGGGAGAAAAAGCTTTTGTTTAATTATATGGCTTGGTTCCCGTTGTGTACATCATGATCACATTTACTCAGATCTTCTTCAGTCAGTTTTTTTATAAAAGATACGGTGGGCACACTTACTGAATCAATACAGCACAGTCTTTGTATCTCCATTCTTTCTCTCTTCGTTCTGACACTACCGGGGTGACCAGAAACCAGTTCCTTAGTCTCCCCATTCCTCACTCTCACTGTCTAGAAAAAGAACTTCATAATAATTTCTATACTGTAGTTATCAGAAGATAAAGTTGAAAGCACATTTATCATTGCATCACTGAATAAATTATTAGCTGTCTTTTTAGGACCCTGGGTGAAATTCCGTAGGAGGTGCTGAAGACACAAAGATAAGCAAGATAGGGTCTCTCCCACCCCCCCCCCGCCAAGTGAGTCATGTTTTAATTTGAGAGAACATGATATAGAATAAAAGACTATGGACAATACATTCTAAAAATGAATAAATTAATAGTTCCAATTTGGGACATGGTGAGGAACAGAGATTCTACTAACCATTTAACTTAAGTGTCTAGAAAATGACAATAATCCATGAAGCAACAAATTTCAGACCTCTACAACAAGCAGCGTGGGGCTGTGACCACTGAGAGAAGGGACACAAAGTGAGCCCTCCAAGTGACCCGCCCCGCAGCCTGAACGCTGCTTCCAGCCTCTCACCCGTCACTGGTCACCCATCACCAGGGAGGGAGCACGCCGGCAGAGTCGGGCCAGGGTTGCAGAACTGCGCCAAGATCCGCGGAGGCCCGATGACCAGCATTTGCAAGGAAGAGAATCAGAGCTGAGACAGTTGCCTAGAAAGAAAACCCTGGAAATGTGCAGAGGGACCCCCTTGACACTTTGGCTAAATGTGTATCTAAATATACTTGAAAAAGAAATTACCTGAAGTTTCTCATGAGAAACCAGTAGGCCAAATAATTCCAATGACCACACAAGAGTGGAAACAGTATTTCTTTCTAACAGCCAGAGTAGAAACTACTTTAATATGTGGGCTCTTAGACAGAGTAACAAGGCTAAATTGCCCCTAGAGCAAAAGCAAACCCAGCTTTTTCTTAAAGACTTTAAAACAAGACTTTAATTGATCAAACTGGCCTATGAGTAACTTAAATGCCTAGGAGAACAAGGTCTAACACACCTTAAGAATAAGACCAAATCTATGACTTAAAAATGTAAAATACACAACATCTAGCAACCAAACAAAAATTTCCAGGTATGCAAAGAAACAGGATATTATGATATAAAACCAGGAGAAAAGTCATCAAAAGAAACAGACCCAGAAATCATGGTAATTATTAGGCAAAGAATATTTAAACAATGATCACAAATATGCTCCGTGTCTATTGTGATAACTATGTATGATGTCAGGTGGGTACACAGGTTATCAGGGGATCACCTCAGAAGTTCTATAGATGTCCAACCACTATTCTGTGCCCCTGAAACTAATACCATATCAAATGTCAAATGTAGTAGATAAACTTCTTTAAATTTATTAAAAAGAAGTGGTACATATATACAATGGAATAGTACTCAGCCATAAAAAAGATAAAATATTGTCATTTGTGGCAACATGGATACTATTATGCTAAATGAAAGAAGTTCTATGCTAAAAGAAGAAGTCAACTGGAAAAGGAGAAAAACCTTATGATTTTATACATGTGTGGGATACAAAAAAGCAAACTATACTTTTGGTGGTGAGCATGCAATAGTGTACACAGAACTTATATAATGTTATAAACCAACATTACCTCAGTTTTAAAAATGGAAGGAAAAAAGATGTTCCATGTACCCAGGAATGTAGAATGTAAAGTGATTGATGATTAAATCAGTAAATGATTAACACCAAAATGATTAAGAGCATTTGTTATATAAATACACTAAAAGGAAAATCAGCATCATAATCGCTGTCATCATAACCATTCTTTCTCCTACCCTCTCATGATTTAAAAGTCCTTGTTTACTTATGTTGTTTTACTTTTTGCTAATAACCATTCTTTTTAAATGAGGTTGGCCATTATGACACTACACCCTTAAAACACTGCACAAGGAACTTTGCAGG